CCACCACACCCGGCTAATTTTTTGTATTTTTTTTAGTAGAGACAGGGTTTCACCGTGTTAGCCAGGATGGTCTTGATCTCCTGACCTCGTGATCTGCCCGCCTCAGCCTCCCAAAGTGCTGGGATTACAGGCATGAGCCACTGCACCCGGCCAAGGCCAGCTTTTTAAATATAGTATACTTCAATTAAATAAGTCACAAAATGTTGACATGCTAGACAAAGTAATAGACATAAAAAACCAGGTTTGCTCATTCTGCTTACCAGCAGAACTTAACAAAATCCTTTGCCAGCAGAATTTCACAAAGCCCAACTCAATGACTGAGTGTAGACCTCTAGAAGAATGCCCCGGAAACAATAAGCAGGTTAGAGCACAGGTTCCCACATCTCTTGCTTGAATCAATGCATTTTTTTAAAAAAGGTAAGTTCAGTGTTCCCACCCCTTGCTTCTTCCACTATATAAAATAGTGTCCCACAGGATTCATGGTTGTGCCTCTGTAATCTAATCTATAACCAGATGTACTCTTACACCCAAACTTGGATGAGATTTTGCTGTAATGTAATTTATGACTTTTTTTTTTTTTTTGAGACAGAGTCTCACTTTTTATCACCCAGACTAGAATGCAGTGGCATAGTCATGGTTCACTGCAACCCGGAACTCCTGGGCTAAAGTGATCCTCCTGCCTCAGCCTACCAAGTAGCTGGGACTACAGGTCCACACCCAGCAAATTAAAACAAAAAAAAATTTTTTTTGATTTTGCTTTTAGAGATGGGGGTCTCATTACATTGCCCAGGTTGGTTTTGAATGCCTGGCCTCAAGAGATCCTCATGCATAGGCCTCCCAAAGTGCTAGAATTACAGGTGTGAGTCACTATACCCAGTTTATGAGCATGTTTAATGTAATTTCTGAGCACATGCAGAACTTCCAACTCTTGATATGTAAGCTGTGGGCTAAAACACTACTTTGGAACAGTCTAACAGAAACTCTCTGAAAGGTTGCAATCCTGACTCTGAATTAAACTGACTTGAATTATTTTTCTTTAGTTGACAGCAGATAGAGATACGAGAATTCAGCTATCCATTACTGATCAAGACACTAAAGACATTTGCAAAAATATGAAATAATCGCATTCTTCTCCCTGTTTTAGTTTTACAAACTATAGTGATTTCTCATTTTTAAAAAGTGTTATATTAACATGTATTAAGCTTGTTATGCTTTTTTTTTTTTTCTCTCTTTTTGTGATGGAGTCTTACTCTGTTGCCCAAGCTGGAGTGTAGTGGCACGATCTTGGGTCACTGCAACCTCTGCCTCCCAGGTTCAAGCGATTCTCCTGCCTCAGCCTCCTGAACAGCTGAGACTACAGGCGCATGCCACCATGCCCAGGTAATCTTTGTATTTTAGTACAGACGGGGTTTCACCATATTGGCCAGGCTGAACTCGTGATTCACATGCCTTGGCCTCCCAAAGCACTGGGTGCTGGGATTACAGGCGTGAGCCACTGCGCCTGGCCTTGTTATGCTTTTAAATACATT